CTTTGGGGCCTCATGGGCCGCCTTGGTCAGTCGGAAGCCAGAAGGTGAGACCCTCAAAAACATTCAAAAAACACCAAACGAAGCTCAACGCTTTGGGCCTGTTGAGCTCTCTGGGAGCGCTCTTCGGTTGTCTTGGAGCGCTCTTGGACCTCTCTTGGGCCGTCTTGGGGGCCTCACGGGCCGCCGTTGGCACCCACCCAGGCTGTCTTGGGTGTGGGTGGGCGTGTTACACCCATCTCTTCCCCCAGTCGCCCCTACCCTGGAACCCATCTCTAGAGGGCTTCGCCCCACCAAGAACGTCGTCACTCGTACTCATTCTTTCCGTCACCTGGGCTGGCACGGAAACGGTAAAAGCGCTTCAGGAACTTGCTCGCCAGAACTCATGGCACCATTCGCTCTTAGGAGCCTTGGCGCTAAGCGCTTTTCACATCAAAGCTCGCTCTTGGAAGCCCTGGCGTTAAGAGTTATTTACGTCAATCTTGAGAGCCTCGGGGTAAGAACTGTTTCGCTTCACTGCCCACTCTTGAGAGCCTTGGCGTAAACGAGTTGTTCACGCCACTGTTCGCTTTTGGGAATATTGGCGTCAAGAGCTTTTCCATATCACCTTTAACGCCAACGACTCATGTAAAAAAGATGTTCCCGCCCCCTGGACCTCTACCGAACCTCAGCGAGGGTGCCGAAGACCTCCACTTTCATATCAGCGCTGCGCTTGCTATACTCTCTCTCTTTATATATATATATATATATATATATATATATTTCGCTCTGTCTCGCTCTCTCTCTCTCTCTCTCTCTTTCTCTATCGCTCTCGCTCTCTCTCTCTCTCTATATATATATAAATATATGAGGGTATATGCGTGTGTGTGAATTTCAAGCCTTAGACATTATGAATACCACTCTCCTCCTGTCCGGAAGATGTGCGGCCTTTTGCGCGCAGTTTCTACACACAGGATGTCAAAAGATCGTCTCTCCGATGTGCTTCTGCAATCTCACTGTCTTCGGTCCTTCAAAACGGTGCTCCCGCTGCAGCGTGGGCCTTCACTTGAGGATCGGCGCACTGATCCCGCCGTTCAGCATGGCGCTCTCGCACAAGCCCGGGCCACTTTTCTGGATCCGAATCATTTCCCCTCCTCCGCCTTCCGCTGGTCCTCCTGGATCTCCCGCTCCTTCTACTCCGGTTCCCGCTGCTTCGTTCGTCCCCGTCATCCTCCTCCTCCTCCTCCTCCTCCTCCTCCTCCTCCTCCTCCTCCTCCTCCTCCTCCTCCTCCCTCATCCTCTTCCCGTTCCTCCTGGTCATCCTCCTGCTCATCCGCCACCTCCTCCTCTTCCTCATCCTCCCTCCCCTCCTCCCATGTACGCAGCTCCCCTTTTCCGATTGACCATAACACGATGGGATCTGTTTGGGAGTTCCATGTGACCGCTATGAAACGCGTGCAAAAAAAAAACAACGCAATGGGAATGGATGTGAATGGTAGGATGCCAGATACGGCGCGAGCGCACCTGGCTTGCCACATCTCCTCTCCTCTCCCTCTTCCTCTTTACCCCCTCCTGTCTCTCTCTCTGTCTTTTTCTCTCTCTTCCTATGTGTATGTATATATATATATGTCATTATTGTGTATATATAGATATCATTATCTTTATGTCTCTGTCTCTCCCTATCTCGCCACTTATATGTACCCCTATATGTCTGAAATCCGCTGACCCTGTCGGCGCGTGGAAGGGGCTGCTCCGTTTGACTCGTCGTCGTCGTCGTCGTCGTCGTGGTCGTTGCCGTCGTCGTCGTCGTCGTCGTCGTCGTCGTCGCCTTCGCAGTTCGCTTCCCCCCCTTTCACTCGGCCCGTCGCCGTTCCCCCCACTTTCACCAGGCTCTCCTCCTCGAGCGCGCCAGCCACAGCGAAATTGAGCAACGTTGTAGTTGAGTCGAAGGGAAGCGCCTTCCCTTTGATCCCTTCCCCGTCGGGGGGGGGGTCCCGGGGGTGGAGTCCCTGGGGGGTCCCGGGGGGGTCCCAGGGGAGGGGTCCCCGAGGGGTCCCGGGGCAGATACGACACCCCCTCGGGCGGTTGGGCGGCCGAGGAAAGCTGCAGGACGCGGCTAAACTGCTCCAAGATGCCCCCAAGACGGTCCTCGAGGGCCCCGAATCGCCGAAGTATCGGTCGAAGTCGCCAAAATAGCCTCCAGACGATTCAAAAGGTTTCCAGAACGCCCCAAGAGAGGCCTCCAAGAGGACTTCCAAGAGGGTCCCAAGGTGCAAAAATCATCGATTTCCCGTAGGTTTCGAAAGATTTCGGCATTCCCGCCTTGTCAGCTTCCCGACGCTCCAAGACAGGCCAAGAAGCCCCCAAGACCGCGCCAAAATGGCCCAAAAGGCCTCCAAGAGACCCCAAAACGACCCACGAGGGTCCCAAGACCGACCAAGAGGCTCCCGAGACAGCCGAAGAGGCCCCCAAGACGACTCTAAGGAGGAGCCCAAACGGGGCACCCGAACGGACATCTGCTGCTCCAGCAGACGGCGATCGGGGTGACCGATACGCGCATTGGCCGGCGTGCAGGAGGGGGGCACTGGACAGGCAGGGCGGCCGCGAAGGACGCGAGAACGCGGAGGGCACCCAAACGCGGAAGAATTCCATGCTGAGTGCGCCGGCGCGGCCAGCAGCGGCAGCGGGGACCGCCGCACCGCGAGACAGGCTCCGGGATGCCGTGTTGTCGCAGGCTCGCGCGCGCGAGCCGCCGTTCCGGGCCCCGCTGCGGGCACGAGCGGCGGGGGGAGCGAGCCTCAAGCGGTGAAGGGGTCGCCTCCGCAGCAGGCGGCCCCCGGCCGGCCCCGAGAGGCCCGCTGGCGTGAGCAGCAGTGGCACGCGAACGCGAGCAAGATCGAGGATCGCGGGGCAAGGTCGAGGATCGGAGGGGGGTGGGGGCACTGGGGGTCAAGATCGGGGAGGGGGGGGGGGGCCCAGGAGGCCCACGGATGGTCCACGACGCCTCCAGGACAGCTTGGCAGGCACCAGGGCTGCCGCCCCGGAGGCCCCGCCACGGCCCCCCGCGCCGGCTTCGCGCAGCAGCTGAGAGAATTGAAGGGGCCCTGAGACACACAAATAAATACACACAAATAAAAAGATTCCCCATATTTTCCCATATTTTTTGGTTTTTTGTCTTCCCCCCCATTTCCCATATTTTCCCATATTTTCTGGGAAATCGCCGATTACTTGTGTCTGTGTGTTTCTTTCCCTCCTGAAGAATACCCCACCCCACACACCGAACAGCTTATCCACGATCTAACTCGCCAGGTTGGGCGGATGATGCGCGGAACGTCTGAATTCGCCGGCCCAACGTGCCAGAGGCGCGCTAAGATCTCCCGCAACAAGTCAACAATATTCTAAATCGCGCGCGTGCGCGTGGAGGCCCCTGGGGATCCTGGAGCGAAAAATACCCCGGGCAACTCCTGGCAAGTCCCCGACAGAGATACGGGATCGCTTGTTCGCGGGCCTGGGGCCTCTGGAACCGTCTAGGAGGGGGCAAACGAGTCGACAAATAGATGGTAGGCCCTACGGCCAGAAGCTAACTGCGCCCCAAGGCGGCCCAAGATGGCCTCACGATGGCACTCGATGCCCCCAACACGCCCCTCGAGGCTTCCAAAAGAAAATCATTGATTTTCCTCGCGTTTATTTAGGGTTTTCAGCCTTTTCGCCTTTTCAGCAATCCGACGCTCCTCGAGGGCCGAAGAAGCCTACAGGACCGCCCCAAGAGGGCCCCAAGACAGCCCAAGAGGCACACAAGAAGGCCCACGAGCGCCCCACGACGAGATCAACTGGGGCCCACGAGGGGCCCGAGACACCTACGTATCGCCCCAACCCGCCCAAGATGGCCCCAAGACAGCATAAGAGGCCTCCAAGACGGCCAAAGAAGCTTCCTAGAGGCCTTCCAAGAGGACCCTGGGAGACAGCAAATATTGTTGTTCATAGGTGTTTGAAAGTGTTTGGCCGTCTCACCCTTTCGGCTTTCCGACGTGCGAAGAGAGCCCCAGAGGCCTCCAAGACCGCCCCAGGACCGCCCCAGAGGCCCTTAAAAGGGCCCCGAAAGAACCCTAAGATGGTCCGGCCCTAAGACGGCCCAAGAGGCGCCCAAGAGAGCCCAAGAACGCCGCGCGACGGCCTGAAATGGGGCCCGCGAGGTAAACCACGAACCGGCAATTCGAGCTTTCCGCCCCGAGAAGGGCCCAGGAGACCCCAAGAGACACAAAAGAAGCCCCCGAAGAGGCCCCAAGAGGCCACGAACGCGCAAGCAAACGCCTGCGATGGCACAATATGGGCCGGCGGAATGAGCGAAGCGATAAAATAAACAAAGGTCGAGGCAAGAGAAAGGGCATCCACAGAATCTCCATGTACAGCCGGAACCACTGGGACTGGCGCCATTCCCAGAGGCACTGCTTGACCTCCGATCCTGCATTAGATAAGCCCCCAAACATTTGGCTGGTGATCCAAGCGTCCCAAGTGCCGTTGCGGCAAGCCTCTGCTCCATTGAAATAAAGACCCTGCCAGCAAAGCCACTTCATGCCAAAAACGTTGTACCGGTGGAGTGCAGGGATTGCTGTGCGGAGCAGGGTTGTCTTGCCCTCCTGGGTGCGCCCCTGCAGAATCACTGCCCTGTTGCGACTGAGGTGAGCGTACGGATTCGTCCCGAACTTCAAGTGCCTGTGTCTGCGCATGTGCTCTCCCATTTCACCGTGCAGTCTTCTGTACAGGGGCTCGTAGTATCTCATCTTCGTCGGGGACACGGCCCGGTGCATGGCCATGGTGGCCCCACCGACACCCAGGACAGCACAAGCGGTCTGGATGAAAGTCATCCCTGTTTGGAGGCTGTACTCGAGAGCGTAATCCGTCCCGCACTGGATGACCCACTCAAGCAGGTCCGCAGGCGTCCCGCTCTCTGGGAACCCGCCCAGGTCTGGCAGAGACATGGCTGGCGATGGTTCGTGGGGGCTGACACAGGCATTGGCCGTACTGCAAGCGCGATCCAAACGGCACGGACGCAGGAGGGGCACGAAAGCGAGAAATGAGGGACGGGAAGGATAACGAGAGCGAGGGGGGACCGATGGAAGGAGGAGAAGATGGACCAGTGGAGGACGAGGAAGAGGAGCGTACGTACCCACAGCAGGACGAGATGGACCAAGGAGGCGGCGGAGGGAGACCAGGAGTCGGAGGGGCAGGGCGAGGAAATGGAGCGGGAGGAGGCAGGGGGGGGGGGCCAAAGCAGCTGACCGCGGGATCTGGCAGGGGGGCGACAGCGCCGTCCCTGGAGAAGAAAGGGCAGGACGAGACGAGGAGATGCGGTAACTGAGATCATGGAGGAGTGGACGGCGGGTACCTATGTGCACATCCTTAGCTTCTGATCGCGCCTGACTTGCAGTGTCCCCGTCTATGACTGCCCCAGGATCCAGGGCGACTGCAAGGGGGCCCCAGAGACACAAACAGAAACGAAAGGAAACTGAACACCACACAACCCCAAAGCCCGGCTTCCCCCTCGACTCATGAGCGATGTCGCGCGCAAGCACAAACTCTCGACGTCGGCGCTGCTCGCAGGTGGCGAGAGCGGGGCTGGGGGGGTGGGGCCTCTCCGGGGCCCCACAAATATGGCCGAAATTGGCGCGTTCGCCCCGAGACGCTGCCCGCAACACTGCAAACTGATCTGACTCGATCGTGACTTCGGTCCGCGCCCGTGCGCTCTCTGCTGGGACACCCCTGGCGGCTGCTGGAGGAGGCTGCGCTTCTGCCCGTGCTGCGCTGCTTCTCCCTTAGTTGGTCCCTTGGGCCGACCCTGGTGGCGGGCAAGCAGCTATAAGTGGGCTTCTGTGAGGGCCCGACATCCCCCGCATGTCTCGCTCGAGGGCCAGACCATGTTTCTCCCTCCCCCTTGTCCAGTTCTCATTCTCCTCCCCATCTTGCCTCCTCCTCCTCCTCCTCCTCCTCCTCCTCCTCCTCCTCCTCCTCCTCCTCCTCCTCCTCCTCCCTCCCTCCCTGCGGCTCTCTGCTGCTCTCTCCTGCTCCCTCCTGCTCCCTGCTGATCTCTGCTGCTCCCTCATGCTCCCTTCTGCTCCCTCCTTCTCTTCCTCCTCCTCCATAATCATCATCATCATCATCATCATCATCATCATCATCATCATCATCATCATCATCATCATCATCATCATCATCATCATCATCATCATCATCATCATCATCATCATCATCATCATCATCATCACAACCACCACCACCATCACCACCACCACCACCACCACCATCACCACCACCACCACCACCACCACCATCATCATCATCATCATCATCATCAGCAGCAGCACAGCATCATCATCATCATCATCATCATCATCATCATCATCATCATCATCATCATCATCATCATCATCATCATCATCATCATCATCATCATCATCATCATCATCATCTTCATCATCAGCATCATCAGCATCATCATCATCAGCAGCATCAACAGCAGCAGCAGTAGCAGCGGCAGCATCATCATCATCAACATCATCATCAGCAGCATCATCAGCATCATCATCAGCAGCATCATCATCATCATCATCATCATCATCATCATCTTCATCATCATCAGCATCATCATCAGCAGCATCATCATCAGCAGCAGCAGTAGCAGCGGCAGCATCATCATCATCAGCATCATCATCAGCAGCATCATCAGCATCATCAGCAGCATCATCATCATAATCATCATCAGCAGAAGAAGCAGCAGCATCATCATAATCATCATCATATTCATCATACTCATCATCATCATCACCATCACCAGCATTATCACAATCATCATAATCGTCATCAGTATCAGCATCAGCATCAGCATTAGCATCATCATCATCAGCATCATCATCAGCATTATCATCATCATCGTCATCATCCTCATCATATCAGAAGCGTCATCATCATCAGCAGCAGCATCATCCTCATCCTCATCCTCACCCTCATCCTCATCCTCACCCTCCTCCGTCTCCCCCCTCCAGGTGCAGACGACAAGATATCTTGGCGTCGGAGACCTGACGGCACATCCTGCGTCGCCCTTACGCTTCGCAAGGCGCCCCAGGGGGCCCCATGGCCCTTCGGGAAGTGCGAAACTCTCGGGGGGCCTGCTGGCAGGTCAGGTTCCTTGTATCGTGCGCCTACGTAACTACTGCACCCCACCCCCCCTCGCATGCGCGCTCGTGCACATTTGCCCTCGACGCGCCGACGCGCAAGGTGGCTCGAACCCCCGACGACGACGACGCGGCTGGCGTGGGACCTCTCGACGCCCCGCCCCACCAAAAAATCGGGTCGGGCGAAAGGGGGGGATAGCAAAGGGGGGGTTGAGAATCAGCTCACGTAGCTAATTTTCCCGGCGCCGGGAGGCGCCCATGCATCGAGGGATGGGCCCCTCGGTCGGGCCGAAGCCAGCTGCATGCAGCAGATTTCGTACCCCCCCCTTTCCCAAACCCCGTAGACGACTATGAGGGCCTCTGCGTCTTAATATGAGCTCTGTAGAAGCACTTTTACTATCAAAACACTTGGCGGAACCAACTTTATGTGGACACGAAAAACATGAATTTTCAATTTTCTAGCCCGACCCGAAAAAAAGAGCTTCAGCTCGGGCCCCCCCGCGAGCACTCGCCCAGATCCCCCAGGGCGGCCGCCGCGGCTCGATCGCCTGGCGCCCCGTGGGGGCGCCGAGGAACGGGCCCCCCGGGCCGCCGAGAGGGCGGCAGCGACGGCACGCGCGCGCGCGCCGCGGCTCCCGCGCGGCGCCGGAGCTCTCGGCTCGCGAGTCCCCCGGCCGCGGCCTCGGCCGTGGGTGCTTCTGCCGCACCGCCCGGGGCGGCCCGAGCGCCGGGCGCCTCCGCGGCCCAATGCGGGGGGTCGGCCGGAGCTGCGGGTGCCCGCCCTCTTCCGGGGGGGGGGGGGGGCGTCAGCACTGAGCCGCGCGGGCCAGTCCGCGCCCCAGATGGGGGGGGGGCAGGCCCATCCCGTGAATCCCTCCCACCCACACAGTTGTCCGTCTGCCCCCTCCCGCCTGAGCCGCCTCATCCTCGCGTCACCATCATCACAACCACCATCACCATGATCCACGGCCTTCTCATTCACGCGTGTCCTTCTCCCCTCCCTGATCCCCTCATCCAACCCTCTCCTCTTCCTAATCCTCCTCCTCAGCAATGACATTATGAATACTACCCTCCTCTCTCCCCTTACTCATCTCTCCCTTGACTCTGTCCAGACTCTTCGCGCTCTGCTGTGTTATACAAACCAGATTTCACATGTTTTTCCCTACATGCTTGGTGGGGTTCTTGTTCCCCACATGTTTAGTGAGGTTATTCCCAACCATCCTGTGGTGTTGGGTCCTCGTTTTGAAGAGACGGTGCCCCGCGTTCTCCTCCTCCTCCTCCTCCTCCTCCTCCTCCTCCTCCTCCTCCTCCTCCTCCTCCTCCTCCTCCTCCTCCTCCTCCTCCTCCTCCTCTCCTCCTCCCTCCCCTCCCTGCTCTCCCTCCTCCCTGCGCTTCACCCACCCAGTACAGCGTTTCGTGGTCCCATAGGGAGCTCCACAGAAGGCCCCAGTGGCAGGGTTCGCATGGCGGCCCCGCGTTTTGGCGCACCCCTCACACTGTTCGTGCCTCCATAGGGAGCTCGCATGGCGGCCCCGCATTTTGGCGCACCCCTCACACCGTTCGTGGCCCCATAGGGAGCTCCGAAGGCCCCAGTGGCAGGGTTCGCATGGCGGCCCCGCCCCATTTTGGCGCACCCCTCACACGGTTCGTGGCCCCATAGGGAGCTCCACCGAAGGCCCCAGTGGCAGGGTTCGCATGGCGGCCCCGCCCCATGTGGGCGCACCCCTCTTCGCGGCCCCATAGGGAGCTCCAACGAAGGCCCCATTGGCAGGGTTCGCGTGGCGGCCCCGCCCCATTTTGGCGCACTCCTCACACGGTTCGTGGCCCCATAGAGAGTTCCACCGAAGGCCCCGGTGGCAGGGTTCGCATGGCGGCCCCGCCCCATTTTGGCGCACCCCTCTCACACGGTTCGTGGCCCCATAGGGAGCTCCACCGAAGGCCCCAGTGGCGGGGTTCGCATGGCGGGCCCGCCCCATTTTGGCGCACCCCTCACACGGTTCGTGGCCCCACAGGGAGCTCCACCGAAGGCCCCAGTGACAGGGTTCGCATGGCGGCCCCGCCCCATTTGGGCGCACCCCTCACACGGTTCGTGGCCCCATAGGGAGCTCCACCGAAGGCCCCAGTGGCAGGGTTCGCATGGCGGCCCCGTCCCATTTTGGCGCACCCCTCACACGGTTCGGGGCCCCATGGGGAGCTCCACCGAAGGCACCGGTGGCAGGGTTCGCATGGCGGCCCCGCCCCATTTTGGCGCACCTCTCACACGGTTCGTGTCCTCATTGGGACTTCCCAATGCTTCGTCCCACATGCCCTGCAGTTCTCACACTTGCGTATGGTTGGGTCCTTCGCCAAGATAATTGATTTGTTCCCCACCCGCGTCGCACCCGCGTTCACCAGCCTCCCATCCTCCCTTCCTCCTCTTCCTTCCTCCCCCCACCCCAGAGACACACGCCGAGATACAGCCGGACACGCATCATACACATGACACGCGCACCACACAACACACACGCGCAAGATTCGCAGGGTGTGGCAGGCGTCGCAGGCGCGCTGCATACACACCCAAAATGAATTCGCACGGTCGTCCAGGGCATGGCAGGCGTGATGTTTAATCAACACCATAGGGGGTGCGCAGGGGGTGGTCTCTCACCGCGGCCGCTATCAGCGGCGGTCGTCTGGGGCATAGTAGGCGTGGCATTTTGTCGACACCGTAGGGGGTGCGCGGGAGGTGGTTTCTCACCGCGGCCAGTATGCGCGACGGTCGTCTGGGGCAAAGCACGCATGGCATTTTCTCGACACCATGGGGGGTGCGCAGGAGGTGGTCTCTCACGGCGGCCGCTATGCGCGACGGTCGTCCAGGC